ATTTATGTGCAGTATTGTAATGTAATATAAATATGAACAATATGTGTTCAATCACAAATTAACCCCTTAATTTGTAATCTCACATTTTTAACTTCTTAATTTTTTATAGTTTCACCGTGTATAAGTGAATCATTGTAAAACCATATCGTATAATATTTTAATAATTAGTTCATTTACCTACAACTAAATAAACTGCCGAATAATATATTTTCTAATTGAACTTCCTAAGTGTCGCAATTACGACCTAGATTAAATTGTATTGTAAGCAAAGTTTGTTGGTATGGTATTATAGAAAGCAATAACCTCTGTGCTGAGATATGAATTATTTGTAAGATTATAAATAGGGGATTTGAGCTCATTTGAGAACAGTTTATTACCAGTAGTTAGTAGTTAAACATTCAAAACATCAGACGAAGCTGATGTTACAAACAATAGCCTCGATTAACTCTACAGAAGAAAGAATAAATGGACATTTAAATAGGTTCCGAGAAGCACTGATAAACGGAACTAAGGAAATGTTTAAGGGGCTAAGTGATCTCTCATATAGAGCTAACACATTAGAGAAAGAGTACATACGACTTAAAGTGGAAACTACTTATAACCGTGCAATGGAATATGCAAAAAAACATGCGAACACATACGAAAAAATATTAAATCTTCATTACAACCATGGACACTTCATAGATATTATAAAAGCTGGACAAATAGAGTCAATCATTTCGAATGCTACAAGGTTCCTTCCACAAGGGGTAAATATAAGAAGGCAGCCAATAATAGATACCGTCGTACAAAATGAAGAAGGAGACATCGTCATTATTAGCTATTTCCTAATAATTGACAACACTAGATACAACCTACTGAGAGTCACAGCTCTTCCGTTGTCGGTGAGAGATGGTGTCGTGCGCTCGTTGTTGGTCCAAAGGAATCTACTTGCAGTAGATTACAATAACTTACATTATTTTGAAGTAATATATGAAGATAAAGGAAGGTGTATAGAATTAAACAAAGGAGAGTTGGCATGTTCACCAATGGGAATCATTAATATGGATACTTAGCCAAACTGTATCTTAAATGAGTTATATGATAGAGCTACCAATACCACTTGCAATATAATAGAATACAAGATAAAGGAAGCCAGTTGGTTGAAAATGAGCACACCGAATCTGTGGTTAGTCATTCCACCATACGCTATAAATTTAGCTATAATGTGCGATGGTTCTCTATCTAAACATATAATCGACCAATCGAGTTTTATAAAACTGTCACCAAAATGAGTAGGTTTACGTGAATTTCCTTTTGTTTTGTTGAAATGAATAACGATAATATTGGTATCTCTATAGAAAAAACGACTCCAGAACGTAGACGGAAAAGAATCGTACAGCGTGATAAACACAAAAGAGTAGTCGCTATGAAAAATAGGTAACCATAGAAAGCTAGATAATGTTTCAGTGCATCAAAATAATTATTTTTTTTTTTGTTTTTAAATATTCGGCTTAAGGTTTGCCTGAAAAACCAAGATGTGTTCATAAAAATAAATTCTTGAAGTGCAATTTATTAACCATGAGGGATCTGCAATTTGTTCATGAAAGATTTTATCAAATTCCATCAAAACTTAAACAAGATGCTTTCATATTAAAATGTTGTGAGGCTAAGACAGCGCAGAGAAGAAGACGGCAGATAAAGAAGTAGGCAGCACAATTTCTCAGATACAGGTATCAATAAATCATAGATTACCAAAGCAAGGTGGCGAATGGATTAGTGTATGCAGAAGAGCCTTTATGCAAATTTTGGGCGTAAAAAATATAGAGTTCAGGGTGTGGTAAAGATGTTTTTTAAGGGATTAACTACATCAGAAAAACGAGGGAGCGACCGCGTTCTAGAAAAAAAAAATGATCAAAAAAGTTAGGTATGAGTAATTTTATTGAGAGTTTTAAATGTCTGGAATCTCGTTACTGCAGGTGTCAAATCAAGAAAAGAACTTTACGTCACATTGTAAAAAAAAACTTGTTCATTGTGATTGTCAAAAAAACTTAGCTCTTCCGAAATTACCTGATCAGAAAGCTTACTTCTCCTCCTAATATACTCCAGTTACTGAGGCTTAAAATATAATACCTCCGAATTTTTTATAACTGCATCGATTTCTTTAAAAATTTCAAATTAAGCTTATCTTACCCTCCACTTCAAAAGTTATATACGCTCTAGCTACTCTTTTTGTTTTTAAGTGGTGAAAACTACCCCTTATTGAAGAAACTGGGAAAAGCACTGATTTATTTATTTTATGCACTTTTAAATCTTGTTTATTCGCATAAGGTAAATATTGTAATGTGTTCTCTAATATGAAAATTAATTATTCACAATTTTCAACTCAGGAATTTCTTCAGGAAAAGCGGATTGTAGAAGTGGACATAGATGCTCTCATAATCTTATTGGAAAGTTATGCTCTGCAATTAATGCTGCCAATTTAATTTCCGCACTATGAACTTGCTCTTCTTAATCGCTGTTTCGCTTATATTTAAAAATTGTTATTTATAAAACTGTTATTTTTAAAACACAGACCCTTATGTTTTTCGCCTTTAGAGTGATTTTTTATTACAGTAAGATCTGAACTAAATTCTAGACACAACTAGAGCATTTTGCTTTCGTAGGTTTATCTTTAATTGACACACAAATAATATAGAATCACAATATTTTAAAATAATTATAAATTTACCTTTAACAGCTTTTAGCCATCCTTTAAAATCCGGTTTATTTTTCCATTCCATTCTAAATTTTTGTGGATTATGTTGTCTTCGACCCGCACTGTATTAGTTTTTTCTTTTGTTTTTCAGAATCAGAGTCAAAATTAGAATATCGTCTTAATTTATCTAAATTACTCAAACTTTGCACGTTAGTTTTTAAAATATCAAATGTAATACGTTAACTAAACTGAACAACTATTATAAAATCCAGTAACAGAACTGCAATCCCAATGGTATTTTGGTATATATACTTTATGATTTGGGGAATCCCTGCTCAATGTAGGGATTCTCCAAATTATACTTACTGTACTTCCCCGAGCTATATATAAGTATACACCTACATTGGAACCGTATTTCTCCCGATCCGACATGGGTCGACGCCGGCCGACGTCAGATTGAAAACAAACTCAATGTATTAATGCATAGTGCCTATACTGCAGTGGGAACCCCGATCAGATACCGACCGATATCGGCCTACGTCGGACTGAGTAGCTTCTGCTATCAAACTTGTTTGGTTTCATTCCGATTTTTCGTTCCGGCGAGAGCCAAATGGCAGAAATGGACAGAGAAATTTTCATGGATCGGGTTGAGATATACGGTTCTAATATAGGTATACCCTAAATTTTTCTTTGGGGTTGATGCATTATCTAAAGTTAGATTCATGGCCTGGAATCTTATATGAATGACTTGGTTCATTCCCCCATCACTTTGACCCCAGCGAGTTAATAAAGAGAAATGACAGCCTATCTCTCTCATGAAGACTTTAACCAATCATAAACCAAATAAAATAATCAAACGAAGCAATGTCAATTCTGTCAATCCAAAGTAATGACAGATCTTCCGTTTGTTTACAAGTTTTTAATTTTATTTTATTATCTTTAACTTTCGTTTGCATTTATTCTTAGTAATGTTAATTTAAATTTGGGTACTTAATTTTTAAAGTTTATTTTGAGTTACCTATTGTAGCAAAGAATTTTTGTGTTGTGCTAGTAACAAAACTAAACATGGTGAATTATTGTTCGTTGTGTACAAATCATGGAAAAATTACAAAAAAGATGATAGTAAGTTGTCAGGAAGCAAAAAATAATAGTACCTATTTAACTTCTGCAAATATGTGTAATAAATATTATGTAATTATTTTATAACTGTTTTATCTTAAACAACAAATAAATATATCCTTATTTTCCAATAAATTTTAATTAGTAACGAAATAGCCCACAAGAGGCGCTAAAGAGTATGTATGTAAGGGGTGTTCATTCAAATTTGCCGCCAAAAGATGATTAGTATTGACCCCAGCCGCAAGGGGTCCTAATGAACGAAATTTATACATTGAGTTGCCTATCTATTTCTACTATTATATTATTTATCTATGGTTAGATTTCTATACTCATGGGGTGCTATTCTTTAAATTTATCATGATAGTTACGTAAAGTTTGGAAAAGTTTTATTAAATTCTCCTAAAGATCTGACTTCATTTAATTTATTTATCCATGTACATTTTTTTCTACTTCTTTTAAGAACGTTGTTTTCTAACAACTGCCAAAACATTAAATGTTCATCGGAACTCATTGTCGGTGGTCGGGCGTTAACTGAACGAGGATAGGTACTCACGTCGGACGACGTCGGATCGAAAAATCGGCTTACATCGGACCGGATCGGATCGGGAGAAATACGGTTCCAATATAGGTGTACCCTAAGAATCAGAGTTATGTTAGGCAATTCTACATACAGGTAATTACTATTCTCAGCTTTTATTAAAATTTTAAATCTTATAATAAGCCAATGTATTATATCCCAATTATCCACATAATTCGCCAGGCATACGTATAAAATTATGTTAAAATTATCAATTATGTTAAACAAATATTTATGTTCAGAATCTGATAATTATGTACAAACCGGTAACTCTGGAAAGGCTTAGACAAGGAAAGAAAGTCTCCCCTTCCTTGTCTAAGCCCAAAGGCATGTAGTGTGACGTCACTGCGGCCATATTGTTATTATTACTTTCCAAACAAAAGTTGAAAAGTTGCCCAATCTCAAGATTTCTATAAAGTTAAAATTTTGCTTCCTCTGCTGCTTTTTCTTCTTAAGTAAAGTGTTTTTTACTAAAATACCATCATAATTATACCCAGAGCCAGCGGTCAAAATAGCTGTTTTTCGTATATAGAAATAGACATTATACATGTTAATCTGTCAACGTCAACTTGACATGATTAATTGAATTGACACATGACAGCTTCATGAGAGACGTTGACGTTAAATATATCAATTGATATCAACAAATCCAAATAAATAAAATACAAATTGACCTAACTCTAGTAACTCTTGTTAGACTATTTATTAATTTATATGATCGGTCGATAAAACCATTTCTTTAGTGATCCGAATACCAAATTACAGAAAAAACTTTATTCATTGTCTATTTTAATGGGCGCCACAGAAGATGATCCCTATGCAATACCAAGTAAGAGCAAATTAAAGCTAAAATGTGACACCTCCATCAAGAAAAAAAAGAAAAAGAAGGATAAGATGCTTGAAAAAGTCAATAAAACCGTGGAAAGTGAGAGTAAAGAGAAATCAGAAGAATCAAAACCGAAACAAACAAAAACTAAAGCCGAATTAGCATTTTTACAACAACAGGAAAAGATGGTGAGTTACACCATACATCTCTTTCATACTTACTTTTTATTTTATTGTCAAACAAATGCTAAAAAGGGTTAATACTTAAGATACTTATATAAAAGATTCACTAAAATATTGTATTTTTCAGAAAACCAAAAGAATACTGGAAAAGGCTTCCCAAACTCACAAAGAAAGAGTAGAAAAATTTAATCAACATCTAGATGGTCTTACAGAACACTTTGATATTCCCAAAGTTTCCTGGACAAAATAGTACCTGAATATTCCAGTTTTTGTTTTTTTTTTTCCATTTTAATGTATGTAAACTTCTATTTTGTTTTTTTTTTTCCTTTGTAATTTATTATTGTGGATATATAGATGAGTATCAATATTAATAAAAAAAAGAATATCTGATTTGTTTTGTTATAAATTTGAATACATTGAAGCAATTTGAGGTAGCTAATACTGCTAAGACTAGCAAAAGGAGCTTAACTTTGGATGCATGTGTATAGAAATTGGAAATGAATAGGTGAAGAAACAAGTAGCTTATATTATACAACAAAAGCCTTTTTATACCAAAAGCAAAAATCTGCTATTTATTTTGAATAATTAAATATGTTATTTGCATCACTATTAATCCCTTTACTTCCAGAAATAAAAATCTAGAATCAAAATAATCTTACCAAGGTGTTAATATTTTATAATGCAATATTTTTAAAGCAGAAAACCCTTTATTATGGTGATTTCACCAGTACACCGGCCACCACTAGTTATCAGCCAAAAACTGAAATAACTTTATTTCTAATACACAGATTTATATTATTTTTACTCCTATATAGAGGTCGTTAGTTTCCCTACAAAAGTTGTAAAGTTTCCTGCCCATAACTGGTATCTTAAAGCGTTAGTCTATTCTCAATCTCGCTTGTGTTATGTTAACAACAAATTTGTCACTGAGATAAGAAGTCAAAACTAAGTGACAGCAATTTTTAAAAGTAGGATTTATCATTAGCCAATATTATGTGTCATTTTTGTTTGTTTGTACCAGATCTATACTACGGGAATTATCCCTAGAGAAATGTTGACATCAGCATTTGTGTGTTTGCCAAAGAGTGCAGTGACTGTTGAACCATAAGCTTAATGTCACATATTTTGAAAATAATATATGCCAGAATTCACTCTAAACTGGAGCTGGATATTAGTGACATAGAATATGGGTTCCGCAATGGTATGGGTACCAGAGAGGAATTATTCTCCTTCAATGTGCTGATGCAGAGATGTTTGGATATTAACTGTCCTTTTTATGTCTGTTTTATAGACTATATATGTTCAGGAATATATGTTCCTGAGGCACTTATGCAGCACATAATGGTTGTTGTTTGACCTATCTTTCTGCGTTTGTAATAAAGCCGACTCTCTTTTGTACCTTTTCGGCAAGTATTTTTCCGGGGTTTTGGACAGTTGTTATACCTGTCCCATCTTTATTATATATTTTGGATGCCGAAAATTTATATCTATCCAATATGGATTTTAAATTAGAGAAAAATAGCTTTACTTCAGTTTTGTTAAAAGCAGATATGCGGTTAATACTTGTCACCTCCGGTTTTCGCAATTGAATAGTTGGATTTCTTTTAAGGAAGCCATCGAGCCAGTCTCTTCGAGCAATTTCTTTTTCTTTGGAAAATGGATGATGTAAATTTTTTTCTTCAGCATATTTATAGGCACATTTTTTTTATTTATGTGAGAGTTATCTCATAAAAATGTTTAGATAACTTTATGACCTGCTTTATAAAAACTTCTTTGGTAAATACAGAATTAAGACCTAAAGAAGCAGCTGTTGTATCATTTCGCTTTAGTCATAGTTAGATTGTAGAATTGCGAAACTTCTTGCAACTTCACTGGCGCTTCTGCCATTATTTACTACATTTATTGCTACACTAAGTTGCTCAGCATTCCATCGTGCTTTGTCACTGTTTCTCTTGTAAACTCGAGGCATCTGAAATATAAGAATTTACAAAGAAGTACTCTGTATTATATAAATACAATTTGGGGGTAATAATGGCCGGCCAGCATTACCTCCAGGAAGAAAAAGAAAAAACAGATAAGGAAAACGAGAAGAAAAAGAGATTGGAGAATAGGAAACAGAAACTAAATAATAACATGGTGTACAAAAGAGATAAAGTACTAAAGAAAATGGCAACTAAGGTATTATTATTGTGTATAATCATCAAGTCAAACAAAAATGTGGTGTTTGTTTAGGAAACCTCTACAGCGATGCTAAAGAAGAGCAAAAGGAATGTTGGCTGTGACAATTGTTCAATCTGGTATCGCCTGAAATGCACTAAATTCAAGGGACGTGTCTACAGTGAAGTGGGAGAGGAAGCTTTTAGGTGTGATGTATGTGACAAATAAAAATTATATCAAAAATGAATTTTAAATTGTTTTTGGTCACTTTTTTATCGATATGTTGCAAATATTTCATATCTTCGATGATAATTTGTTTTTGTTATTGATGAATCTTGGTGTTACTTTCGAGAGCATTATGCATTTTTTTTTATCTAAGTACTACAAATTATTTCTTGTTTTCTATTTTTTATAATTAAAACTTAACTTAATATAGGTGTGTTTCATTAGATATTTTCCCTAATAGATACCACACTGACTACTAATAAAATAGACATCCATTAGTACTATCAATATTATAAATTAAATTTATAGTATATACCTGCTAAAATTATTAAAGAACTTAAATATTCAATCTATGCATTAAAAAAATTCTATTAAAAAATTGTAACAGATTATTCAGTCTATAGTTCTACAGTCATTCGAAATTGACATTCCACAAAACTGGCTGACTAAATATAAAGATTATATTTACATGAGGAAAAGATAACACAAAGTGATAAATTCATGAATCATTAAGTGTTTTATCAGAACTTTGGACTAAAACAATTGCATTTTCTGAATATTTTATTTACTCAGCTCCTTAATTAAATGAAATTTGATTCATGAATTTTATGACTAAAAATGTTATTTTTATTCATAAATTAATAAATTCTTTTGTACAAGTTGTGAATTTTGTCTGTTTTCTATAATTGTCAAAAAAGGTCTAAAATATTTAAAGTACTTTTGGTTAATAAAAACAAGTCAATGTCACAAAGAAAAAGCAATAAACAGTTGCAACAATACAGCATAATTATTTTAAAGAAAAGCTTTATCAACAACTTTTTAAAAATGTCATGATGCCTAAATGTTCAATCACAAAGTAATCCCTTGATTTGTAATCTCACATTATTCTTAACTTTCATACTTAACATATCGTGTAATATTTTAATAATTAGAGTTCATAGAAAAACTAACGAACCACAAATCCCCAGGCAGCGATGGCATCCCAGCAGAGTTATTTAAGCACGGTGGAGAGCAGCTCACCAAGGTGATGCGAGAAATTGTTTGTAAAATTTGGTCTGAGGAGAAAATGTCTGAAGAATGGAGCTTAGGCTTAATTTGCCCGTTACACAAAAAGGGAAACCAACTGGAATGCAATAATTACCGCGGAATAACTCTCCTAAATACAGAATACAAGATATTGTCAAATATTTTGCACGAGAGATTAAAGCCTTGTACCGAAATTTTTCTAGGAGACTATCAGACAGGATTCAGGCGTGGACGTTCAACCAGATCTTTACACTACCACAGATCCTCGAAAAAGCGCAAGAGGTTAACATATGATATATATATATATATATATATATATATATATATATATATATATATATATATAACACTGTTTTTGATGGGTTGGAGTCAATAAAAGGGGCTATTTTTTGACTATTTTTTACTCGAGCTTTCAATTGTGATTACAATTTTTATCAAGAGCTTCTAAAAAATACAAAATGTCTTACAAAGTTGAACTAGAAATAAAAAATTTTTTGTTAACTCACCAAATAAAATTAGTTTTTTATATAAAACTACTGCTTACATAATAAATACAAAAAATATTAATAAAAAAATGTCTTATTCTAATAAATGTTTCTCTGAAAAATTTAGATAAAGTTTCTTAAGAAAAAAATTGAATTTAAAAACAAAAATAGAATAGCTACAACCAGCCTAAAATGTCATAAATACCTACTAACTTAAAAATTTTTATTTTTGACATATTGTCAAAAATAAAATTTTGTTTAAAAAATTCTTCTTTGTTTAGTAACAAAAAAGAAGAAGATTTATTCACCATTGATAGATGCCCGAAAAAATGTAACAAATACATGGAAAATTCAAAATGTGATATTTTACTGACTGCATAAATTAAATAGAAATTATATAATTATAAATTTTGCTTAAATTTTGAATTTCTGACCTTTTGTTTAAATTATTATCACTTTTGCTAATACAAACCATTTCCAAAAAAGTTCTTTTAAATTTATTACTTTCATTACATAAAATTTTAATATTATCAAAATCCATAATATGGTCTTTGTCTATTACATGCTCTGCGAAAGCACAAGATGGTTTCTTAATTCTACAATCACTCTTGTGAGAAATAATGCGATTTAAAATGGCAACCAGAAGGAGAGAGAAAGCGAGGTAGACTGAAAAAAAGTTGGAGCGAAGGAATAAATAAAGAACTGAGAAAGAGGGCCATGGGAGAAGACCTATGGAGCGATTGGAAGTCGGAAAACGGCGGAGAACGTTATAAACCTACAAGTAGTAGTTTTTAATTTCATTTCACTGATAAAATATTTATAACCATATTTTAGCATATCCTGAAGCAAGAAAGAAATTTTGCGAAAATTAGATATAAGAACAAAGAGTTTTACTTATCATGCTCTATAAATGACTGCAACCTTAAAATAAAACTTAGTTTACATAACGTGCCAGTCAATAACACCAAACTACTAAAGTAGTTTAAATAAAAATACAGAAACATTTTCATAATGTTTAATATACCAATTACTGTTAGTTTATCTTGTTTACATCATTTTCCATTAAATTATTAACTACAGCATTAAGATTCTTCTTAAAAATATCATAAGAAAATTTCTCATCTAATCTTTTCCTACCATTAGCACCCATTGCTTCCATATTGTCAGATAAAATTCTAGACATAAATTCAGCCATACTATCTCCTGAGGGTTCACTAAGATAGCCAGATACTCCATGCTCCACTGTTTCTCTAGGCCCTCCACTATCTATGGCTATAACAGGTTTTGATACTAGCATTGCTTCCAATGGAACAATACCAAAATGCTCTTTAACTGGTGTGTATAACAAACAAGTACAAGATTTTAGTAGCTCAGCCTTTAAATTATCATTAGGTGATTTAAGAAATATTACTTTATCTTCTAATTGCTTCTCTTTTGTTAAATTAACTAAATCTAGGTATGTAATTGCATTGAGCGCAAATTGCGGATCATAACCCCCAGCTATAATAAGGTAAATTTTCTCCCAGTCTTCTGTAGAAACAATGTTTTTTAACTTCGCTAATGCTAGAATAGCAAATTCCAGCTTTTTAGCGGGATGGAATCTATTTAATGATAAAAATACTATTATCTCACCTGTTTTCTTGATTTGTGGTACTAATTCTTGTATTGGTTTAGCTTCTTTTAAGTTTTCTACTGTTTTTTGGTATGAACTTGCAATTGTAGGATATAAAATTTGAATATCTTTATGTATGCTTGGAAATGTTTTACGAAATATTGAAGCAGTATATTCACTATTAACTAAAATAACATCCGCTTTTCCTGTTGTCTTCATTTCTATCCAATCTATTGGCTTTCTGTAGAATTTTTTTAGTTCTCCTCCAGGAGTACTAGCAAGCAAATCAGGATGATGACAGTAATAAATTACTTTCTCACCAGCAATTTTTAAAAATACATTTGCTACTGGTATTGAGTCTGTAATATAAAGGTCCGGTTTGTTATTATTTTTAAAGAATAATATATAAATTATAGACATGTATACCATACGGAAATAGGCACACAAGGCTTGAAATCTTCCAAAAACACTTTTTGGTAACCAGTCTCCATATACTTCTACGGGATAATCTCCATTTTTTACTTCATCAAATGCATGAGTTGGATCAAAATGATTTGTAAGGAACCTTACTTCATGTCCTAAAAGAGTTAGGGCTCCTGCCAGGTCCAGAACCAGTCTTTCAGCTCCTCCTATTCCAAGATCAGGATGAATAAATGCGATTTTTAACTTTTTAGGCATGACTGTTATGAAATGCTTCTGCACGTTACTTCGTCATATGTATATATCAATTTGTAGAAGTTATAAAAACCATTTGTTTAGTTTAAATGTAAGGTTAACTTTGTACTTACAGCTGTTCACTGTTTTTATTTCTAGCATAACAAGTAACAAGTGACATGCTGTCATGCTGATGATTGTACAGCTGTATGTACAGCGTTGCCAGGTCATCGAAGTCCGAAAATCGTATCGTATGCCGTTGTTCAAGTTATCGTATTTTATCGTAGAGATTATCGTGGAACATCTACCCACGTAGTTGTTCGGTGGTATAATTATTGTACTATTCACTGTTACTCCAGTCCAATCGTCAGAGACGAAAATGCCGGCGCACTTTTTGTGAGAAATACAGGACCACATTGGACAGCAAATACGAGTATTCAACTCGTGAATGGTTTTGTGGCAGTAGTGCCATTGATTGCCATAGTTAGATAATGCCATAAATTAAGGGCAAGAAATAAAAACGAAAAGGAACGCTGGATGAAAGAAAGTTGTGAAGAATTGGAATCACTACAAGAAAAGGGAGACAACTTTGACATAAAAAGGTCAAAGAAATTTCGAGTATATAAAAAAAAACACCATGAGACTCGCCTGAAGAATGATGAAGGAAACTACGTTCATACCCAGGAAGAACTAGCTAAAATCTGGGCAAACTATCCCTCTTTGCGGATAATAGACTGAATCTGCCAACTACTAATTTACCCATGGAAAATTTATTCGGCCCTCCCATTATTCGTGCCGAGGTGGAGTACGCTAAAAAAGTAGCAAAACTAGGCAAGGACCCTGGACCGGATGGAATTACTATGGAAGCCATAAAACTGTTGGAAGATGATAACATCGACATGCTGGTAACAATTTTTAATGCCATATATAACACTGGCCACATTCCAACGGATAGGCTTTTATTCAACCTTTATAATGATCCCTAAATCACAAAGAGCGACAAAATGCAAAGATCACAGAGACTGGTAAGTTTAATTAGCGATTTACTTAAGGTGTTTCTTCGCATCCTTCACACAACAATATTCAGAAAGCTGGAAGATCTAAGCAGTGAGACAACAATTTGGTTTCAAGAGCGGACTGGGTACACGTGAAGCAGCTGTCTGCTTGAATACGCTTGTATAAAACTGCATGGATCAACGAAAGGATATAGTCATAAGATTTCTCGATTATGAAAAAGCGTTTGACACCATAAAACATGACGCAATGATAAAAATGCTACACGACGGTAACATTGACGAGAAAGATATAAGAGATATCCAGAATCTCTATTGGAATCAAGAAGGACGAGTGAGACTGAACAATTCAACCAACACAGAAGAATTTGAAATTTTAAGAGGGGTGCGACAGGGGTCGCATATTTTGTCCCCTATGCTCTTTAATCTCTATGTGGAGAACATTTTTGCAGAGGCACTGGAAGGCTCTGAGTGTGGAATAAAGGTAAACGGGTTCATGATATGCAGTTGATGTTAAATAAAACAAACACCGTAGGAAAAATATATAGCTTGAAGATAAATGTTGGAAAAACTAAATGCATGGCAATAAGAAAAAACGCACTTTTAAGAATAGAACAGCAAGTAGATAATGCTCCAATCGATCAAGTGAAAACATTTAAATACTTGGGAATGATAATGAATGACCAATGGGATCCTCAACAAGAAATAAAATGCCGTACCGAACAATCAAGACAAGCTTTTGTCAAATTTAAACCGCTACTATGCAACTTTTCTTTAATCTCCGCTACAGGATGGTTAAATGCTATGTATGGTTCATATTGTTATACGGCATGAAAACATGGACGTTAAGAGTACCTTCCAATAATAAGTTTGAGGCCTTCGAAATGTGGATGTTGCGAAGAATGTTCCACATACCATGGACAGATGGGTTGAACAACGAGGAAGTCTTAAGAAAGGCAAATACTGAGAGAAAACTACTCAATTTAATCAAGGTACGAAAAATTGGATACCTCGGCCATATTCTGAGAGAAAAAAAATACGCAATCCCTCAACTAATCATCCAGGGACAGATTGAAGGCAAGAGAGGAGTAGGTCGCAAACAAATGTCGTGGCTACGGAACATAAAGAACTGGACAGGCATAAATAACACTGGCGATCTTTTGCATGCTGCAAAAGACAGACGTCTGGCCTTAAGTTAATTCGCCAACGCAGCATAGTTGCACGGCACTATAAGAAGAAGAATTGCCATTGAGGATTGGTTTCAAACAGGTCTGTAATGCTTATTAATCTCGTTGTTCAGAGTATATAAATTTTTAATTTTTAAAAAGTTTTTTCAAATCTTACGAGTTCTTATACTAATTAGTATAAAGTATAATATTATTAATTTATTAGTATAAATTTAATTTTTAAAAAGTTTTTTCAAACCTTACTTATGAGTTCTTATACTAATTAGTGGTACTTTTACTTAGCTGTGCAAAGACAATTAACCGTTACAAATATTTGAAGATATCAATATATGTTCGAACTATAAAGACACACATCAGAACACTACGGTGTCACGACGACTACTCAATTACTCCGGTTTGATTAAGGCTGTGTTAGCAGTTAAAGCACACTGCGATTTGAAATGGGCGTATCACTTACTTTTCTACACTGCGTACGCCAAATCATCTTTACTCAGTGGCGCCGGCCGACGGGTAGTGTAATGACAACAAATGCATTATTCTCCATTCAAATTAGTTTTAACACGATCTAACTGACCGTACGTTCATGAAATTTGACGTCACAAAGACGAGAACGGTGAAACTAATCGCCAATGATGAGTAACACGTTTCACTATTAGATTTTAGTATTTTTTAGCAATTTTCTTTAAAGTTGGAACACGTTTTTTTTTTATTATTACTGGACACAGAAAAGTGAAAAAAATCAACGATTACAGAAAAAAAAACTCTTTCAAGTGATGGGCGTAAAAAGTTTGGTTATAATAGAACGTTAAACATTATAATCCAATTTTTCAACAGAAGTTTTAAAAAAAAGTAAAACCGTCATTTTAAAGGCAACATAATTTCGAATAGCTTGTCCAAATTTCGAAACATTCTGTCGGTAAATAACAGAGAAAATACTGTCCCTAGGTTTTGGTGCACCGATTAAAACAGCCTTAACTACGTTATGCACGTAGTGATCTTGCACTGAGCCTGGAACAATTTGACAGTCATTATTAGAAACATAAAAATTGCTTCATGTTTTCGTTTATACTTGTTGAATTGAATTTTTCCATATATACCTTTTGCTATCATATAGTACAGTGCTTTTCAGATAAAACTATCCACCTTCAATAACTTTTAAACTTCTAGTTTTTAGGAAAAACGCAAAAATACGTCAATTAATATTTGAAGTTAATTATTGTTAAACTGGGAATAAGCCACAATTAAAGATAAAAATACGTTTATTGACGTTTTAATTTCGACTTCGGAAATCGTTTGAAAAAAAAAGAAAACAAAAAACAAAATTTGTTTAATTTACTGTTTGTATTTTGAGAACGATTTCCGAAGTGGAAATTGAAACGTCAATAAACGTATTTTTATCTTTAATTGTGGCTTATTCCCAGTTTAACAGTATTTAATTTACAATGCCACAAGAAAATAGCTTCAGAACAATAATATTTGAAGGGGGAGACATTACATTATATTTAAGGTTGTTGGGAAATGCACCCTCTCACCCCCCGTATCATCCCTTTATTTTTTTAAATTACTTCCCCTTCTTTTCATTTTATATTTGAATTCTCCTTTTTGTACTGATTTCAAAAATGTATAATACATTCGGCTTGAAGTGATTAGTTTATGAGATAGACAATTTTTCTTTTACCAAAATAGTGTCACTCTCACCTTAATTGTCTGTAACAAAATAGGTTGTAGTATAATTTAAACTTTTTAAATATTTAACTTGGTCTGTACATTTGTATATGGATCTGAAACTTGGACTTTAAACGCCGATATCATGAATAAAATCAAGGCGTTTGAGATGTGGTTGTATCGAAGGATACTAAAAATTCCATGGAGTAGCAGAACCAGAAACGAAGAAGTTCTTCGAAGAATGGGACATCAGCGAACTCTATTAAATATTATTAAGAGGCTTAAACTAGAATATCTTGGATATATAATCAGAGGACCAAGATATGAGTTCCTTCGGCTAATTCTCAATGGTAAAATCGAAGGAAAGAAATGGATAGGACGGAAGAAACTCTCTTGGTTGAAGAATTTGTGGCAGTGGAAAGGTATGACAGCGGACCAATTGCTACACGTAGCGCAAGACCGAGATCAGTATAACAATATTATAAGCATGGTAGTCGCCGACGTTCCGTAGGGATATGGCACTCTAAGAAGAAGAAAATATTTAACAATACTATTTGTACTTACTTACCAAGAAACAAAAAACTTCATTTTTTATTAAAGTTTAATCAAAGGTTTTCGATATTATTTGGACATTTATTTTAATCGGTTAATAACCAATGGCAATTTGTTAAAACTTGCATTAATTTGTAAATTGTAGGTTTATACTACAAAAATAATAATTGTGCAAGAGCTGCTGCTAGAATTTTTAATAAAACACACCACAATAGACATACTACTCATAAGTATGTGATCAAAAGATTTATGCAATTTTTGTGTAAGTTGCAATATCCAACTGGATAAATTGGATAGCAAGGTGTGTCAAAATTTTTTGAAAACATATTGTAAAGTTGAAATTCTTGAAGTTCTTCAATTCTTCGCAAGAAATATGTGAGGGCATCTACCAAAAACGTTATTGAAGGTATTAAAAGCCGGGTAAGAGATAAATATCTGTGGATATGTCGACGAGACTACTGAGGCCAAGGGTCGGCAAATCGTGAATTTAATTATTGGAGTTTTAAACAGTTCAGCTGATGACTCCAACAAGTCGTTTTTTCTCAGCGTAAAAGGTTTAGCAAAAACCAACTATGCAACAATAGCTCGATTTGTTAACGAATCTTTGACAAATTTCTCTTTACCGAATCAAGTACCCTATAAAAAAACTTTGCTACTAGTTAGCGATGCCGCTTCCTACATGGTTTATGCTGTTACTAGTCTTAAGATTTTTCCGAATTTGATTCATTGTACAT